TCTACGCTGTCGCCCGCACCAACAAGGTGCGCGTGAATGTGAGGCGTGGCGTGGCTTCTGTTTTTGAGGCGACACAATAGTCACCTTGCTACAGCGCTGTGAACGAGCTTGATGCCATCTATGCCGTCGCTCGCACCAACAAGGCGCACGCAACGGAGAGAAGGGCGGGGGGGAGGGGAGTGGGGGTCGGGGGGAACTGCATGCCACTCAGCTCAAATATCGCTGCATAGCATCTGTACCACACTACTCACGCATGACAATGCCCCGAACTGCCCTTAGTGTGTCGGGACGGGCTGGTCTGACTTTCCGTCCTCTTTCTCCCTGCGTGCCCATGCATGCATGCAGCTTCCGTCCCGTCTGGCCATCGACCGCCACGAGGGGCGATGGGAGAAGGTTCTAGAGACGCTGGACCATGCCATGTCCCACCGCCCTGCACCTGCTGGTGCTGCTCTTTCCTCTGGTGCTACTCCTGCAGTGCCCTCGTTACAGTCACAGTCACAGTGGCAGGGGCAGTGGGCGCAGCAGGGAGTGGTGGCAGCACTGCAGCACATGGCATGCTCCCACGTGTTGCAAGCGTACTGCCGCGGTGCCGTCTCAGCACCTTCTGCTGCTGTTGCCACTGATGCTGCCGCTGGGGGTGCTGGTGCTGTTGCCGGTGCTGCTGTGGGCACAGCAGGAGCTGCTGGAGGGGCGGTGCATGGAGCTCTTGGGACAGAAAGAACGGATTTTCTCGAGCTTCAGGTTTGATTTCGTGTCCAAGTTCCCTTTTGTTACCAATGGCATCCACAACATGCCCACCTCTTGCACCGCCCAGCATGTCCCTTCTCCCGCACTCACGCACGTGGTATCATATGGTCAATGAGAAATATTACATGTCTGTGAAGTGAACGTTCACGCTCTCATGTGCCTCTTTCGCCCAGAATTTCTTCTTGGCTTGGCAGCAACGACGCTACAGTCTTATCTCAACTCAACCCGGTCTCTCTGTTCACACCCACACACAATCTCTCTCTCCTGTCTTATCCCTGCTGTTGTTCCGCACCCCTCATCTCATCCCTCTCATCTGCAGTACGAAGCTGCCTGGAAGATGGGCAAGTGGGACCTGCCAGCAGCTCAGCTCCCGGACTCGTCCAACTCGTCACCCTACCCGCCCTCCACCTTGCTCATACTCACAGCCCCACCTGGCAGCAGCAGCACTGCGTCCACCATGCCTGGTGCTGCTTCTGCCTTCCACGCCGCTCTCTACAGGTGTGTTGCAGCCTCCTTTAGAGAGCGGCGCCCCCTTTGTCACACTCACAGCCCCACCAGGCAGCAGCAGCACCACCACTGGTGTGCTGCCGTGCTGCTGACTGCCGTGCTGCTGACTGCCGTGCTGCTGACTGCCGTGCTGCTGACTGCCGTGCTGCTGACTGCCGTGCTGCTGACTGCCGTGCTGCTGACTGCCGTGCTGCTGACTGCCCTGCTGCTGACTGCCGTGCTGCTGACTGCCGTGCTGCTGACTGCCGTGCTGCTGACTGCCGTGCTGCTGACTGCCGTGCTGCTGACTGCCGTGCTGCTGACTGCCCTGCTGCTGACTGCCCTGCTGCTGACTGCCCTGCTGCTGACTGCCCTGCTGCTGACTGCCCTGCTGCTGACTGCCCTGCTGCTGACTGCCCTGCTGCTGACTGCCCTGCTGCTGACTGCCCTGCTGCTGACTGCCCTGCTGCTGACTGCCCTGCTGCTGACTGCCCTGCTGCTGACTGCCCTGCTACTGACTGCCCTGCTGCTGACTGCCCTGCTGCTGACTGCCCTGCTGCTGACTGCCCTGCTGCTGACTGCCCTGCTGCTGACTGCCCTGCTGCTGACTGCCCTGCTGCTGACTGCCCTGCTGCTGACTGCCCTGCTGCTGACTGCCCTGCTGCTGACTGCCCTGCTGCTGACTGCCCTGCTGCTGACTGCCCTGCTGCTGACTGCCCTGCTGCTGACTGCCCTGCTGCTGACTGCCCTGCTGCTGACTGCCCTGCTGCTGACTGCCCTGCTGCTGACTGCCCTGCTGCTGACTGCCCTGCTGCTGACTGCCCTGCTGCTGACTGCCGTGCTCCTGATTCCACATGCGTTGGATGCTTTCTTCTTCTTCTTCACTTCTCTCCACCTTCCATTCATCGAATGTCACTCTTCCTAATTTCTCTCTGCTGCAACAAACCATTGTGGCACCCTCCCTAATTTCCCTCTCTCTTTCACCCACCCCTCTCCGTTCATCCCATGCCTCTCCGTTCATCCCATGCCTCTCCGTTCATCCCATGCCTCTCCGTCCATCCCATGCCTCTCCGTTCATCCCATGCCTCTCCGTTCATCCCATGCCTCTCCGTTCATCCCATGCCTCTCCGTTCATCCCATGCCTCTCCGTTCATCCCATGCCTCTCCCTCCCAACCAGGCGCGCCTCCTGAGCCAGGCAGCAGTGCATGTGCAACATCTCAAGGATGCCTGCCGCACCCTCACAGCACGCAGCCACACACCCACCACTGTGCCGCACCTGCCACCAACAAGCAGCGCTGCCACAGCATCGGCAGAGGAGGGACGTGGGGAGTGGAGGGGGTGGCATTCTGTGGGCGGGTGGAGGAGGCGAAGCTGCTGGCATTGGAAGGGCAGCAGGACATGGCCGTGCGCCTGCTGCAGCACCTGCTGCGCCCAGACCTGCCACCGCACGCTTCCCAGGGGTCTGCTTCACCTTCTGCCGCCTCTGCTGCTGTTACCACTGCTGCTGTTACCACTGTTGCTGCTGCATGTGTACCAGTGTCTGACCGCATCTACACGCTCGGCTTGGCGGCCAAGTGGCTTGGGGAGACGCGCTCTATAAGGTTCGGCTGGATTGGGAGGCTAGAAGCGTGGGAAATGGGATTCATTGCCACTCACAGCTGAGATGAGCATCATAAAGCGGGATTGAATCTTTCCACAATCAAAAGTCGTGTGCATGGATCTTTGAATCTTGATGCTCATGGAGTGAAGTGCACTGTTTGTTCGACAGCTGCCATTGGCCCAAAAATCAATCCTTAATTCTTCTCTCTCTCTAACGTTCGAAGCTGTTGCATTGGTTTCCCTTAACTTTCTGGGGTTCCCGTCGTTCCTTCTCCCCTCTCGCTTCCGTTATCTCATTCTCCTGTCCGACGCCCACCAGCTCGCGGGTGGTACTGAATGACTACCTGTGGCGCGCAGTGGACCTCACAACCCACCCGCCCACTGCCTCACACTCCGCCTCGCCCTCTGCTGCTGCTGCTGCTGCCACTGCACCCCCAAGCTATGCCTCCCTTCCGTTCGCCAATAACTGGCACCAGCAGAAACAGGAGCGGCAGTGGAAGCAGCAGCAGCAGCAGCAAGGGGGATATGGTGGGCAGCAGGGGGGTGAGAGGGAGCAGGGGGGACAGGAGGGGGAGCAAGGCCAGTGGCAGCAGCGGCGGCAGTGGGGAGAGGTGCATTTTCAAATGGCGCGCTACGTGGATGGGCTGTTTGTGGTGCTGCATACTCGCCTGCACTCGCAGCAGTGGCGTGCGGCACAGGATCTGACGACCCACAAGGTGCGTTGAGAGTGAGGCACAAGGTGGGGCGGGAGAGAGGCATGGCGGCACGGGAAGTGCACACAAGACGCACGGCACGGGAAGTGCACACAAGACGCACGGCACGGGAAGTGCACACAAGACGCACGGCACGGGAAGTGCACACAAGACGCACGGCACGGGAAGTGCACACAAGACGCACGGCACGGGAAATGCACACAAGACGCACGGCACGGGAAGTGCACACAAGACGCACGGCACGGGAAGTGCACACAAGACGCACGGCACGGGAAGTGCACACAAGACGCACGGCACGGGAAGTGCACACAAGACGCACGGCACGGGAAGTGCACACAAGACGCACGGCACGGGAAGTGCACACAAGACGCACGGCACGGGAAGTGCACACAAGACGCACGGCACGGGAAGTGCACACAAGACGCACGGCACGGGAAGTGCACACAAGACGCACGGCACGGGAAGTGCACACAAGACGCACGGCACGGGAAGTGCACACAAGACGCACGGCACGGGAAGTGCACACAAGACGCACGGCACGGGAAGTGCACACAAGACGCACGGCACGGGAAGTGCACACAAGACGCACGGCACGGGAAGTGCACACAAGACGCACGGCACGGGAAGTGCACACAAGACGCACGGCACGGGAAGTGCACACAAGACGCACGGCACGGGAAGTGCACACAAGACGCACGGCACGGGAAGTGCACACAAGACGCACGGCACGGGAAGTGCACACAAGACGCACGGCACGGGAAGTGCACACAAGACGCACGGCACGGGAAGTGCACACAAGACGCACGGCACGGGAAGTGCACACAAGACGCACGGCACGGGAAGTGCACACAAGACGCACGGCACGGGAAGTGCACACAAGACGCACGGCACGGGAAGTGCACACAAGACGCACGGCACGGGAAGTGCACACAAGACGCACGGCACGGGAAGTGCACACAAGACGCACGGCACGGGAAGTGCACACAAGACGCACGGCACGGGAAGTGCACACAAGACGCACGGCACGGGAAGTGCACACAAGACGCACGGCACGGGAAGTGCACACAAGACGCACGGCACGGGAAGTGCACACAAGACGCACGGCACGGGAAGTGCACACAAGACGCACGGCACGGGAAGTGCACACAAGACGCACGGCACGGGAAGTGCACACAAGACGCACGGCACGGGAAGTGCACACAAGACGCACGGCACGGGAAGTGCACACAAGACGCACGGCACGGGAAGTGCACACAAGACGCACGGCACGGGAAGTGCACACAAGACGCACGGCACGGGAAGTGCACACAAGACGCACGGCACGGGAAGTGCACACAAGACGCACGGCACGGGAAGTGCACACAAGACGCACGGCACGGGAAGTGCACACAAGACGCACGGCACGGGAAGTGCACACAAGACGCACGGCACGGGAAGTGCACACAAGACGCACGGCAACGGGAAGTGCACACAAGACTGCACGGCACGGGAAGTGCACACAAGACGCACGGCACGGGAAGTGCACACAAGACGCACGGCACGGGAAGTGCACACAAGACGCACGGCACGGGAAGTGCACACAAGACGCACGGCACGGGAAGTGCACACAAGACGCACGGCACGGGAAGTGCACACAAGACGCACGGCACGGAAGTGCACACAAGACGCACGGCACGGGAAGTGCACACAAGACGCACGGCACGGGAAGTGCACACAAGACGCACGGCACGGGAAGTGCACACAAGACGCACGGCACGGGAAGTTGCCACACAAGACGCACGGCACGGGAAGTGCACACAGACGCACGGCACGGGAAGTGCACACAAGACGCACGGACGGGAAGTGCACGACAAGACGCACGGCACGGGAAGTGCACACAAGACGCACGGCACGGAAGGCACACAAGACGCACGGCACGGGAAGTGCACACAAGACGCACGCACGGGAAGTGCCACACAAGACGCACGGCACGGAAGTGCACACAAGACGCACCGGCACGGGAAGTGCACACAAGACGCACGGCACGGGAAGTGCACACAAGACGCACGGCACCGGGAAGTGCACACAAGACGCACGGCACGGGAAGTGCACACAAGACGCACGGCACGTGAAGTGCCACACAAGACGCACGGCACGGAAGTGCACACAAGACGCACGGCACTGGGAAGTGCACACAAGACGCACGGCACGGGAAGTTGCACACAAGACGCACGGCACGGGAAGTGCACACAAGACGCACGGCACGGGAAGTGCACACAAGACGCACGGCACGGGAAGTGCACACAAGACGCACGGCACGGGAAGTGCACACAAGACGCACGGCACGGGAAGTGCACACAAGGACGCACGGCACGGGAAGTGCACACAAGACGCACGGCACGGGAAGTGCACACAAGACGCACGCACGGGGAAGTGCACACAAGACGCACGGCACGGGAAGTGCACACAAGACGCACGGCACGGGAAGTGCACACAAGACGCACGGCACGGGAAGTGTGGAGTTGGGAACATGCGAGTTGCTCTCACCTATTCATCTGCTCACCTCTGTCGTCCCATGTTCTGCTTGACTGCCCTCCACCCCCTCTCTCTCTGCCTTCCTGGCATGGCATGGCATGGCATGGCATGGCAGCGGAAGGAGTTGGAGGAGATGACAAAGCGACTAAAGGCTTCTAGACGAGTGAGTACCGGCTGTGCCCGCGGTGCCCGCTGTGCCCGCGGTGCCCGCTGTGCCCGCCACCTCTCTTCTGAACTGCACCCTGCTCGCTTGTTGTGTCCACGCACATCCACTATCAAGTCAACCCAACAAGATCCTCTTCCGGACTTGACATGACTGACACTGCCTCACCCCACCGCACGCATGGCACCGCATTGCACCGCACGGCACCCACCTCGTATCAGGAGGACGAGAGGCGGGTGTACGGGATGAAGATGATGGAGCTACAGAAGCAGCTGAGCATGGACGACCAGGAGGCCAACGACCTGCAGGTGCAACCCCCGCACCTTGCCATTCCTCCTCCCTGCCATCCCTCCTGCCTGCCATCCGGTGCTCCATCCACCTACCATCCTTGGTTAGTCCGCAGAAGGCTATAAGCCAAAACTGCTTGTTATCAAAGTTTACAAAGGTGCACACACAGGGAAGCACCACACCCTAATATGCTTACCAGTCTCTGCCTTGTGTTCACTGAAACGGGTCCTGTGGTCTCCTCTACGGCTCCCGTCTGTATGCCTTGCTGTGCCGTGCCGTGCCGTGTCGTGCTGTGCTGTGCTGTGCTGTGCTCTGCTCTGCTCTGTGGTGCGGTGCTGTGCTGTGCGGTGGTGAGTGCAGGGAGAGCATGACATGTACCTACGTGCTGCTCTCGAGAACTACAGGAACTGCCTTCTGGCGGCCGACACGTTCAACATCAAAGGGGTAACTGTTGAAGTGGTAACTGTTGAAGTGGTAACTGATGAAGTGGTAACTGTTGAAATGGTAAGTGTTGAAGTGGTAACTGTTGAAGTGGTAACTGTTGAAGTGGTAACTGTTGAAGGGGTAACTGTTGAAGTGGTAACTGTTGAAGTGGTAACTGTTGAAGTGGTAACTGTTGAAGTGGTAACTGATGAAGTGGTAACTGTTGAAATGGTAACGGTCGAAGTGGTAACTGCTGAAGTGGTAACTGCTGAAGTGGTAATTGTTCAAGTGGTAACTGTTGAAGTGGTAACTGTTGAAGTGGTAAGTGTTCAAGTGGTAACTGTTGAAGTGGTAACTGTTGAAGTGGTAACTGTCGAAGTGGGGACTGTTGAAGTGGTAACTGTTGAAGTGGTAACTGCTGAAGTGGTAACTGTCGAAGTGGTAACTGTTGAAGTGGTAACTGCTGAAGTGGTTGGTAACCATCTAGTGGCTACTGTTAACGTCTCAGTGGAGGACGTATCAAAGTGATGATACACATGAGCTGCGAGCAGTAACATTTGGAAGCGATCCGGCTGTGCTGTGTTGCATCAGGGTGGTAACAAGCTGAGAACGTGACAGTAGCTGATTGGTTCGCATGCACCTTTCCACCAATAGCACCTCCCCGTTCCCACCTTGCCTAGCGCTCATTTTTGTTTCCAACCACCACACCCTGCCTCTCCTCCTTTCTTCCTTGCCCACTCGCCCGCACGCCCACAGGTGTTCCGCCTGACAGCGCTCTGGTTCACGCTGCTCAAAAATACCAACGCGGACACAGTGAATGCGGAGATGCTCACAACCATTTTTTAGTCGACTCAAAAGTCAACTTCTTGTCATCTCCCCCCCCCCCCCCGCCTCTATGCCCACAGGTGTTTCGCCTGACAGCGCTCTGGTTCACGCTGCTCAACGATGCCACGGCTGACGCAGTCAATGCGGAGATGCTCACAACCATCCAGACGGTCAGTCATTTCGCTTCTCAGTCACAGATGCATCATTTTTTCGTGGCGAAATTTTCTCTGCGAGCACGTGTATGCGAGTAACCAATGAGACCAAGAATGGCCAACGTCCACCCCCAATAGGGGCTGAAGAACGTGCAGCAGCACATGCTCCCCTGCTTCTAGCAGCACGTGCTCCCCTGCTTCTAGCAGAGCCCTCCCGCATTCCTCCCACTTCAAGCCACCCACGCCCTCCTTTCCCACTCAATTGCCACCCCCTGCCCTGCCTCGCCCTTCCCCTCTCCAGGTGCCGTCATACAAGTTCCTGCCACTCGTCTACCAGATGGCATCACGCATGAGCGAGCGAGACCCCCACGGCTCACCGCCGCTCCACCCTGAGACACCCGACTTCCAGGTGGGTGGTCCGTTCAGCTCAGCTTTCCAAGGCTATCACACTTGCCTGTTCAGATCTGACCAACTCTACCCCAATTGCCCAATTTGACCACTTCAGCTGTTTGTTCGGTCATGTATGTATGCATGAAAACTCCTCCGCTCTCTGCTATTGCTCTCTGCACTCGCTCTCCGTGTTAGACGTTCACAATGCAGTGCATGTCCTCGCTGAATTAGCATGCTCGACTTGCGTGCATGCTGCTGTAAGAAGCTCTTGCACTATGCAGGTGTTTTGAGACGTCTCAAAACACTTCTTCAAACACATGTATGCATGCTGCTGTAAGAGCCTCATGCACAATGCAGGTGTGCTGTGCGGGCAAATGTGCTATTGCGCACCCTCTGCTTTTGCAATGAGTCTACGGGTTACTTACGCGTCAAGCATTGTTTGTGCTGACGGAAGTTGGCAGAAGATCTTCTTCTTGCTGAAGCTCTCCCCCCGTCCATGTTCCCAACCCAACATCATGCCTTACTTTCTCCCCACCCACAGTCAGTGCTGACAACGCTCGTCAAGCGAATGGCGGACGACCATCCCCTGCACACATTGCCTGTGGTACGCACTCAGTCACCCCATGTTCGGCCATGCTTAATAAAAAATCACAGCATTCGAAGCCTGGCTCACACCTACCTACACAGCACCGCAGTGCACACACTATGCCCCAAAAACTCCTCCGACTTGTTTCAACACTCCCCTCCCCTCCCCTCTCTCCCCTCCAACCCAACCCCTACCTACCCACCTCCACCCTCCGCCCTCCCCCTTCTCCGCAGCTCATGGCGCTGGCCAATGGCAACAGGGTGCGTAGCAGCCAGCGCGGGCGCAACCTCTTTGTCGTGGATGAGGACAAGATCCGGGCGGCAAAGGCTGTCCTGGGCGGCATGGCTGAGCGGCACAAGCCCATGCTGGATGAGGTAAGACAAGAAAGTAGGCTCGCTGCCATATCGTCTGATCCGAGTTGACTTTTGAGTCGACTCGAAAGTCAACTCATCGGGTCTGATACAACTGTAAGCGTGCTGGTATTAGTTCCTCCACGGACTGTGTGGTGCCTCCACGGACTGTGTGGTGCCTGCCTCCAAGGACTGTGTGGTGCAGCTGCTTCATGCAGCTACTGGTGAAGAGAAGAGCCAAGCCCACCATTCCTCTTTCATCTTGCTTCCCGCCCATCCTCGCCCTACCTGCCTGTCTGCCAGCCAAACCGCCCCTTCTATCTTCCCCCAGAATTCACCAGCTGATGGATATGTGGATATGGAATGCCGCCCTCATTCGTCCTGTGGTGTGCCCCCACATCTCCCCAATGCGCCATCTTCGCTCAACCCGCTTGCCTGCCAACCAAACCCCCCCTTCCTTTGTATGTCCCCACAGATGCAGCAGCTGATGGATCTGTACATCCGCCTAGCGGAGATGGAGTCCAGCAAGGAGGTGGGTGCGGTGCGGTGGAATGCGGTTACAGAGTGTGAGGAGGTAGATGGTGGTTGTCTATTCCACATGGGATGCTTCGTCCTCAGGGTCTCACCTCGCGCATGCTTGTTGCTGTCACAGTCACTTGCAGTCTGCTGCACTTCTCTCCTTGCTCCACCGGACCACCGCTTTCCACTTTCCTCTCCGTGTTCTTGTCTGTGAATCTGCAATCCACTTTCTTTCCACCATCCCACTCGCCTCAGGATCTCATGCGTTCAAAGCAGCTACCGAGAAACTTCCGCAGCGTCAGGGACCTCTTGCGGGTGAGTGGTGGCCTGGGAAGCAGAATGCGGGTGGTAGTGCTGGGGTATTCTTCTGAACCACAATTGTCATTCACTATTGAGAACTCTCAAACCCGTTGTTGTAGATTTCACTTCTGTACAACAGCATGCCGGCGATGCTGAGTGTGTCACAGCCACGATTGTCATTCACAGCAGGCCTGCTGGCTTTACCTGGCTGAGCATCTTTGTGTTGAAGTTCTGTGAACGAGTTTCAAGGTGTTCATATGATGGGCCGGTCGCCTATGCAGATTAATCTCCCGGCCCTTGCCACCTTCCCTCAGTTGTCAGTTCCCTATGATGGTCAGCTCTCTCTGCCCCCCTGCCACCCACCCCCAGGTGCCGGTGCTCACAGCCTCGGTGCCTGTGGAGTTCTGAGGCTCCTCAAAAACCATCTCCTCCTGTCCTCACCGCACGCACGTGAGGCCCCCTCTCCTCCTGCTGCCTGCCCCCAGGTTCCCGTGCTCACAGCCTCGGTGCCTGTGGACCGAACCTGCTGCTATGCCCCGGGCTCCTTCCCTGCCTTCTGCGGACTCAAGGACAGCATGCGGTGAGTGGGCAACGCGTTACTCTCTATTGACTCTTGGAGATTTTCTTTTTAGATTTCTCAAACGTCGTCACAAGGTGTCAGTATACCTGCTTTTTACATAATACATGCCCCCTTCTTCTCCTTCTTCTTCTTCTTCTTCTTCTTCTTCTTCTTCTTCTTCTTCTTCTTCTTCTTCTTCTTCTTCTTCTTCTTCTTCTTCTTCTTCTTCTTCTTCTTCTTCTTCTTCTTCTTCCTCCTCCTCCTCCTCCTCCTCCTCCTCCTCCTCCTCCTCCTCCTCCTCCTCCTCCTCCTCCTCCTCCTCCTCCTCCTCCTCCTCCTCCTCCTCCTCCTCCTCCTCCTCCTACTCCTCCTCCTCCTCCTCCTCCTCCTCCTCCTCCTCCTCCTCCTCCTCCTCCTCCTCCTCCTCCTCCTCCTCCTCCTCATCCCCCCCTCCCTTTCCCCACGGCCTGTCACACCAAGCTGATACACTGTGAATGCATCCAAGTTGGTGGAGTGTATGTGCCTGTACGGCCATGCCTTTCCAAGCAAGCACGCTGCCCTGCTCTTTCCTCCACGTAACTCCTCCCTGTTCCGGCCCAACTGCTCTGTCCCACCAGGGTGATACACAAAGTGAACGCACTCAAGGTGGTGGAGTGCATGGGGTCGGACGGTCATCCATTCGCACATCAAGCACGCTGATTTCCTTCTCCTCCTTCCCCCCGAACTTCCCCCTTACGGTACGCCCCTTCACCAGGGTGATGCACGGGGTGAACGCACCAAAGGTGGTGGAGTGTGTGGGATCGGACGGCCGTGTGTACAAGCAGCTCGCCAAGTCGGGCAACGATGACCTGCGCCAGGACGCTGTGAGTGGCATGGCATGGCAAGGCAGCATCCTCTGAGCCTGTCAAATGGGGTTTGTGGGGTCGGCCGGGACGGGAGTGCATGGGGTCGGCCGGGAGTGCATGGGGTCGGCCGGGAGTGCATGGGGTCGGACGGCCGTGTGTACAAGCAGCTCGCCAAGTCGGGCAATGATGACCTGCGCCAGGACGCTGTGGGTCGCTTCTTTCAGCCCTCCCTCTGATTATGTTCTTTGCTCCTCACCCGCCCTCTCTCCCCTCTGATTATGTTCTTTGCTCCTCACCCGCCCTCTCTCCCCTCTGATTATGTTCTTTGCTCCTCACCCGCCCTCTCTCCCCTCTGATTATGTTCTTTGCTCCTCACCCGCCCTCTCTCCCCTCTGATTATGTTCTTTGCTCCTCACCCGCCCTCTCTCCCCTCTGATTATGTTCTTTGCTCCTCACCCGCCCTCTCTCCCCTCTGATTATGTTCTTTGCTCCTCACCCGCCCTCTCTCCCCTCTGATTATGTTCTTTGCTCCTCACCCGCCCTCTCTCCCCTCTGATTATGTTCTTTGCTCCTCACCCGCCCTCTCTCCCCTCTGATTATGTTCTTTGCTCCTCACCCGCCCTCTCTCCCCTCTGATTATGTTCTTTGCTCCTCACCCGCCCTCTCTCCCCTCTGATTATGTTCTTTGCTCCTCACCCGCCCTCTCTCCCCTCTGATAATGTTCTTTGCTCCTCACCCGCCCTCTCTCCCCTCTGATTATGTTCTTTGCTCCTCACCCGCCCTCTCTCCCCTCTGATTATGTTCTTTGCTCCTCACCCGCCCTCTCTCCCCTCTGATTATGTTCTTTGCTCCTCACCCGCCCTCTCTCCCCTCTGATTATGTTCTTTGCTCCTCACCCGCCCTCTCTCCCCTCTGATTATGTTCTTTGCTCCTCACCCGCCCTCTCTCCCCTCTGATTATGTTCTTTGCTCCTCACCCGCCCTCTCTCCCCACTGCCACGGCGCCCCACCAGTGATGGAGCAGCTGTTGCGGCTCGTGAACTCTTTGACTTCCCCACTCTCCTCGCCCCCCCTCTCTCCCCACTTCCCATCTCTCCCCACCTCTTCCCACCGCGCCCCACCAGGTGATGGAGCAGCTGTTCGGGCTGGTAAACTCTCTTATTCACCCCAATCTCCCCAACCTCTTCTCTCCCCACCACTCCCCCCCTCTCCCCACCTCTCCCCACCTCTCCCCACCTCTCCCCACCGCGCCACACCAGGTGATGGAGCAGCTGTTCGGGCTGGTGAACTCGCTGCTGCAAGCCCACGAGGGGGCCACCAGGCGCCACCTCGCCATCCGCACCTACAAGGTGCGTCCCTGCAGGAGGCACATGGGTCGCATGGGTCGCATGGGTCGCATGGGTCGCATGGGTCGCACGGGTCGCACGGGTCGCACGGGTCGCACGGGTCGCACGGGTGGCATGGGTCACGTCAGCAACAACAGACTGCATGCCTCTCTCCCATTCGACTCCAATCACCACCTCTGCCATTCGCCCACCTCCTCTTACCACCTCGCACCTATCATTCCTGCTCCTGCCCCAACTGCATCCCCGCTCTCGCCGCCCCTCTCTCCCCTCCCTGCATGTCCTCTCAGGTGGTGCCATTCACTCCCAGCGCAGGTGACTTTTTATTCGACTGAAACTGACACCTTCCTTTGCCTCCCTCTGCTCCTCCCCCCTCCCCCTCCCGCCCCCCCATGGCCTGTCAGGTGGTACCATTCACTCCCAGTGCAGGACTGCTCGAGTGGGTGGATGGCACCCTGCCGCTTGGGGAGTACCTTCTAGGAAGGTGCGTGGACGAGAGCCGAGGCTAAAGCACATGCAGCAGGGGTGGCGGCGGGCTGGCTTGTGTGCACACGTGCAGGCACTCACCCCGAGGTTGTGGTATTGCATGCACAACAAAGTGTTCCCACTTCGCATTTAAGACTTCTCAAAGACCACTTGGCATGTACGCCCATCCATCCACGCGTGAACAAGATGCCTTGCAGCGCACATCGCTCCGTATCAACCCTACAACCGCCTTCTGCTTTTCACCCTCTGTCCGCCTCCCCAACTCCCTCCCGCCTTTCCCCAACACCACCTGCTGACCCTTCTTCCCCACACTCTCTGCCCCATGGCCCGCTCGCATTTCCTCTCCTCTCATCGGCCCCATCCTCTCATCGGCCCCATCCTCTCTCCCCACCCCACCCACGCGGCCAGTACTCGCAAGGGGGGGGCGCACGCACGCTACGGGGGCTCTGATTGGCCATTCATGACGTGCCGTGAAGTGATGGCGCGGTGGCATGACATGCGTACCATGCACTGTCACGTACCATGGAGGTGGCATGGCATGCGTACCATGCACTGTCACGTACCATGGAGGTGGCATGACATGCGTACCATGCCACCTCCATGGCATGACAGTGCATGCACGAGGCTGCATGCCAGCCATTCAATTGCACTGTGCATAGCACATGGCTCGCCTTACCCTGCCCATTTCCACATGAGCCTTTGAACCCTCAGCTCTCACCCTTGTGAAGCTCCTCACCCTTGTGGAACAAGGTACCCCTGCAATGAAGCATGCAACCATTGTTCACCCCCGGACCTGCCTCGTGTGCATCACACCAGGTGGGGTATGTGGAGGGGCTGGGCGACTGGCACGCGATGAGCATTCTGCAGCACCTCACCCGGTTCGTGAACGTGAAGCGTCTAACCCTTGTGCCCCAAACTGTCCTGCCTCGTGTGCTCTATGGCAGGTGGGGTACGTGGTGGGGCTGGGGGACCGGCATGCGATGAACATTCTGCTGGACGAGCGATCAGCAGAGGTGGTGCACATCGACCTGGGGATTGCGTTCGAGCAGGGGCTCATGCTCAAGACGCCCGAGAAGGTGCGTGTGTGGGGGGTGTGTGCGCATGAAAGCAGATCCTCTGACATAATTCCAGTGTGGGTGGGTGGGTGTAAGTGTAGTGTGTGCATGGAGGTTGATAGGAAGGCTAGGTGCAGTGACCATGGGTGGTGAAGTGAGCAGAGGTGGTGCACAATGCGCATGGACCGCTGCCTCCGTTCAGGAAGGGCCGCATGCTCAAGTCGCGCGATAATGCTCGGTGGCTGCTTTCATCAGTAGTGTTCATTCAGGGAGATTTATTGGGGCTTGTGAAGTGCGTGCAAGCATATACAAAGGTGGGGTGTGTTTCAAAAGTAAAGTGGCAAGTTCAAGTGGAAGGTGAAGGCGAATCATTCATGAGTCGGAGTGATGATTGACCTATACTGCATATTTGTTGTTCTGCTGGACACTCAATGAACAGCCGTGGTGCACATCCAGCAGCACTGGTAGCGCGAGGAGCCCATAATCGTGCGCCACGTGATTCCAACCTCCGTGAAGGACGGGCTCAGCTGGGCGCCGTTCGTCATGTGCCGTGCGTTCTACGAGGCCGAGGAGGGGTGCAGCGAGCAGGAGGAGCTCACAGTGGTGGCCACAGACTGCGAGGACGGCACTGAGGTGGAGCTGGGCACTCACCAATTCTTTGGGGTGAGGTTCATGTACACCACTCTCGCACTCCCGTGTGCTCCACACCTTCATGCCAGGTGCCCTTCCGCCTCACGCGGGACATCATAGACGGCATGGGCGTGAGCGGCGTGGAGGGGGTGTTTCGAAGCTGCTGTGAGACGGTGCTGGCGGTGATGAGGGAGAACAAGGAGGCACTGCTGACAATCATCGAGGTGAGTGGAGTGGAGTGAGTGATGCGATGCAGGACCCTGATCCGTAGCCAGTGCGTCCATTCTAGTCAGTGCTGCTGTCACAGTAGCCAGTGCGTCCATTCTAGTCAGTGCTGCTGTCACAGTAGCCAGTGCGTCCATTCTAGTCAGTGCTGCTGTCACAGTAGCCAGTGCGTCCATTCTAGTCAGTGCTGCTGTCACAGTAGCCAGTGCACCCATTCTAGTCAGTGCTGCTGTCACAGTAGCCAGTGCGTCCATTCTAGTCAGTGCTGCTGTCACAGTAGCCAGTGCGTCCATTCTAGTCAGTGCTGCTGTCACAATAGCAAGTGCGTCCATTCTAGTCAGTGCTGCTGTCACAGTAGCAAGTGCACCCATGCTAGTCAGCGCTGCTGTCACAATAGCAAGTGCACCCATGCTAGTCAGTGCTGCTGTCACAGTAGCAAGTGCACCCACGCTAGGCAGTGCTGCTGCCACAATAGCAAGTGCACCCATTCTAGTCAGTGCTGCTGTCACAATAGCAAGTGCACCCATTCTAGTCAGTGCTGCTGTCACAATAGCAAGTGCACCCATTCTAGTCAGTGCTGCTGTCACAATAGCAAGTGCACCCATTCTAGTCAGTGCTGCTGTCACAATAGCAAGTGCACCCATGCTAGTCAGTGCTGCTGTCACAATAGCAAGTGCACCCATTCTAGTCAGTGCTGCTGTCACAATAGCAAGTGCACCCATTCTAGTCAGTGCTGCTGTCACAATAGCAAGTGCACCCATTCTAGTCAGTGCTGCTGTCACAATAGCAAGTGCACCCATTCTAGTCAGTGCTGCTGTCACAATAGCAAGTGCACCCATGCTAGTCAGCGCTGCTGTCACAATAGCAAGTGCACCCATGCTAGTCAGTGCTGCTGTCACAGTAGCAAGTGCACCCACGCTAGGCAGTGCTGCTGCCACAATAGCAAGTGCACCCACGCTAGTCAGTGCTGCTGTCACAAGTGCACCCACGCTAGTCAGTGCTGCTGTCACAAGTGCACCCACGCTAGTCAGTGCTGCTGTCACAATAGCAAGTGCACCCATGCTAGTCAGCGCTGCTGTCACAATAGCAAGTGCACCCACGCTAGTCAGTGCTGCTGTCACAGTAGCAAGTGCACCCACGCTAGTCAGTGCTGCTGTCACAGTAGCAAGTGCACCCACGCTAGGCAGTGCTGCTGCCACAATAGCAAGTGCACCCACGCTAGTCAGTGCTGCTGTCACAATAGCAAGTGCACCCACGCTAGTCAGTGCTGCTGTCACAGTAGCAAGTGCACCCACGCTAGGCAGTGCTGCTGCCACAATAGCAAGTGCACCCACGCTAGTCAGTGCTGCTGTCACAATAGCAAGTGCACCCACGCTAGTCAGTGCTGCTGTCACAAGTGCACCCACGCTAGTCAGTGCTGCTGTCACAAGTGCACCCACGCTAGTCAATGCTGCTGTCACAATAGCAAGTGCACCCACGCTAGTCAGCGCTGCTGTGAGACGGTGCTGGCAGTGATGCAAGAGAATAAGGAGGCGCTGCTGACCATCATTGAGGCTAGTGGTGCCAATAGCTACCAGACCATGTTGATTTATGCAGGATATGGTACAAGAGGTATTCAAAGAATGTGTCCCCCTGCCATCCTGCATGCCACCGCCGCCCTGTGTGCCCCTGTAGGTGTTCATCTATGATCCTCTTTACAAGTGGGCCCTCTCTCCGCTTAAGGCGCTGCATCGACAGAAGGTGCCTTCTTGCCCTCATCTTACACACTCATTGCACCTTTCCATTACACTCAAGTGAGTATCATTCCACTGATCCCTTTTTCTTTCACCAGTTTCCACTTGCTCGTGCATTGTTACCAAGCTACCATGCCACCTGTCTCAATCTCTGTCTGGTAATTTCTCAATCCGTGGCACTGCACGCGTGCCACTGCATGTGTGGCTCTGCACTCGTGGCACTGCATGTGTGGCTCTGCACTCGTGGCATTGCACGCATGGCACTGTTTGTGTGTCACTGCACGGGTCCCCAGATGGAGGAGAGTGAGGAGGCGATGGAGGAGGAGGGGACGGAGGAGGAGAGCGGGGCAGCGATGGAGGGCAACGAGGAGGCCACGAGGGCACTGCTGCGAGTCAAGCAAAAGCTCGACGGCTTTGAGGACGGCGAGATGCGCAGCCTGGCTGGGCAGGTGAGGCAGCAGGGTGGGGCAGATGGTGCAGTGGGCAGGTAATGCAAGTAGCATATGTAGCTGTCGGCAAGGAGGCCACGAGAGCGCTGCTGCGAGTCAAGCAGAAGCTGGACGGCTTTGAGGACGGCGAGATGCGTAGCCTGGCCAGGCAGGTGGGGCAGCATGGTAGCGTGTAGGTAGTGCAGGGGGCATATGTAACTGTTGGTGAGATGCGTAGCCTGGCTGGCCAGGTAGGTGGGGCAGCATGGCCGGGCAGGTGGGCAAGCATGACCAGGCAGGTGGGGAAGCATTGTAGAAAAGGTTGGGCAGCTAGCATATATAACTGTCGAAATGGGTGCATCTATGTTCCTAAGTATAGCATTGTTCACCTCTTCTCATTGCCATCAGCCTGCATCTCTGTTTGGCCCCTCACCCCTGCTCCCCGTCATTGCAATGCATCTCTCCACTTCTTTGCTGCACTGCTTTGCTCCATGCCTTGCTCTACGGCTACCAGGTGCAGCAGCTGATCAAGGACGCACAGGACCCCGACCGCCTTGCCGTCATGTTTCCAGGATGGGGAGCTTGGCTGTAGCATGGCTTTCTGTAACTTGGCTAAAGCATGCCGTACTAGTATCATTGCTGCAGCATGCTTGCAGCATGGCTGTAGCACAGCCGCACCATGTTGGTAGCATGGCAAGAGCATACTTGTATCATTGTTGCAGCATGTTGGTAGCATGGCTAGATCATACCTGTATAATAGTTCTAAGCAATTATAGCTAAGCATATACGAGAGGGCTTGCCTGTGATGCATTTATCTCATGAAGGAGCTATACCTGTAACGGGTGTAATGCCCACCGGTCCGGAGCCACGCCTCCACGACGAGCCTAGCTTGGACATGACCCTTGTTCGCAACAAGTCCACAATACCCTTAGGGCAGTCGGCCAGACCTAACTTGGAAACACCACAGCCCCTAGGGCATGGCAAACCCAGAAACCAACATCCTAGGGAACCTTACACTTGGCATCTTGGTTGCATGCTTGTTCATGGCAAGGAGATGTCTCTCACTACAGACTACAGAGTGTGGCAGCACGTAGGAGCTTGGCCTTCACTCTCGGTGTTGTTACTACGTACATATCACGGATTTGGAGTCAAAATTGTATTACGATATTGAACAAAGAAAATGTACAGGGTGACACATCAACTACGGTATTTAAGCACCGGGGGTGAAGTTGGTGGCATAGGCCCACGCGTTGTTGACGGTGGGGTCAGCCAGGTGGTCGGACAGGTTCTCCAGGGGGCCCTTGCCGGTGACGATGGCCTGCACGAAGAAGCCGAACATCGACACCATAGCGAGGCGGCCGTTCTTCAGCTCCTTCACCTTCAGCTCCGCAAGCGCATCGGGGTCGTCGGCCAGACCCAGGGGGTCGAAGGCACCGCCGGGGTACAGGGGGTCCTCAACCTCTTGGAAGCCCTCAAGGCCACCCACGCGGTAGCTCTCGACGGCACCCATGAGGATGACCTGGGTGGCCCAGATGGCCAGGATGGACTGCGCGTGGATCAGACTGGGGTTGCCCAGGTAGTCCAAGCCACCCTCGGAGAAGATCTGCGCGCCGGCCTTGAACCACACGGCCTCGCCGAAGTTCACGCCGTTGCCGGCCAGCAGCTCGGGGGTCAGGCAGCCGAGCGCGCCGAGCAGAGCCCACCGAGCGTGGATCACCTGAAGATTTAGAAACAGGTGAAGGAAGAGAAAAAAATCGTCAGAACCTTAAAACAGCGAGCGTTGCAAAGCAGCAAAGATGATAGCATTTGGTAATTTCTGTAAACTAACAGGGTGAAACATCTCATGGTTGGTCCTTTTAGCGATGAATATTCTTGCGTACGTAATGTACCTCCTTTGTGTCGTTAGCAAATCTGGTAGCCTTACCTCAAGCTCGCGGTTCTTGGCAAAGGTCTCGGGATCAGCGGACAGACCCGCCGTGTCCCAGCCGTAGTCGCCGGGGTACTCGCCGGTGAGGTACGACGGGGGGGAAGAGAACGGGCCCAGGAACAGGTTGCGGTCGGGGCCGTAGAAGGCGCTGCTGGAAGCCGCCTTGGCGGTCTTCCTCATCGTCACGCGGGCCTCGACATTGTTCACCTTGGCGGCGAGCTCAGCGCTCTGGCCGACGAAGGTGGAGGGGAGCACAGCAGCGTTAGCGAGAGCAGCCATGCTGTATGTCTGGGCTGGGAAGAGAAGCTGTTTTGAGTGTTGAAAGTAAACTGGAATTGAGCTTCTGCTTCTGCTGAGAAACGATTCTCTAGCGACTTATGAACCAAAATTGCGTGTGGGGGAACTGGTTGGATGGAGTCATGGATGGGTCTAGGAGCGTTCTGATTGGATGGTATCTGAGTACGAACCGCGCTTGACGCCTGAAGATCTCCTTTCCTCAGCACCCAAAATCCACGCAATCAGGGCTCAACCAATTGCGAGGACCCTGGTTGGTTACCATCTGATGTTGTTTTGTGGTGTCGGTGTGGTTGCACCACGGTCGTTTCGCTAGGCTGTGCGATGAAAGTCTGTGGAACAAAGTACGTATTTCGCCGATGCTGCGAAGCAAAGCGAACGCCAAGGAAACACGTTTCCATGAAATGTGGTGATTTCGTTTTTCCTGTGACGTGGCGTGCAATCTAATTGGTTGAGCATGCTGCTCGATTTCCCATCGTCGCTTTCATCACCTCACCCAAAATGGAGGAAGTGTGGACCACACGACGATTGTGGGGTCAGATCAAACAGAAGTGGATGTTTTCTGGGGTGTGTGTGGGTTGGGCACGGTTTATACTACATCACTCAGCTTCCCTAGAGGTGTGCCTATGGCGGGTGTATCGGTGGTGGGATGGGGCGTGGTGGGATGAGGCAAGCTGGGGTGGGGTGTGCTGGGATGAGGGAGCCGAGTGACATTGCAGTTGGTTCTGTGATTGTATCGTTTAGTCAAGAAGTCGGAGCCCGAACAATTTCCAACGTGCACAGACAAGTCGCCATGACAGCACTTATCTCGTCAGAGGTGGGCAACTGAGCACACATCACATTAGTTTTGACTTGCGGAAGGCTTGGTGCGTTGCTGTTCGTTACTTTGCGGTGCATGGTGGGCAGTCGTGAACTATGTAGTTTCCGCACTTGCGAACAGTCAACCACAAACTCAGCGATAAGCTAAGCGAACTGGTGCAGTCTGGAAACCTATGTCTCGTCTCCTGAGGTTAATCTTCTCACTTGTGAGCTTGGCGACATCTCCAATTTCAGTCTGAGAAACCTTATTTGCTCTTCACTGACTCGCTTTGCGGTACCAGACAAACAAAAAAACGATATTGCGAAGTCATCATCTTGACTTGTAACTCTTCCAATAGAGCATAATTCGCGTTGGAGGAAGTAACATGCCACCCGCTACTGTCAACAACGCGTCTATGACAATACGGTATCTTGTTTCAGACTCCCATGAGTAAATGGTGCAAAACAAGAAGTAATTCCTAGTTGCATAGAGAAGTTACGTTTTATTAATGAAAGTGAAAAAATGTACAGGGATTATTTATCTAAGCACCGGGGGTGAAGTTGGTGGCATAGGCCCACGCGTTGTTGACGGTGGGGTCAGCCAGGTGGTCGGACAGGTTCTCCAGGGGGCCCTTGCCGGTGACGATGGCCTGCACGAAGAAGCCGAACATCGACACCATAGCGAGGCGGCCGTTCTTCAGCTCCTTCACCTTCAGCTCCGCAAGAGCGTCGGGGTCGTCGGCCAGACCCAGGGGGTCGAAGGCACCGCCGGGGTACAGGGGGTCCTCAACCTCCTGGAAACCCGCAAGGCCACCCACGCGGTAGCTCTCGACGGCACCCATGAGGATGACCTGGGTGGCCCAGATGGCCAGGATGGACTGCGCGTGGATCAGGCTGGGGTTGCCCAGGTAGTCAAGGCCACCCTCGGAGAAGATCTGCGCGCCGGCCTTGAACCACACGGCCTCGCCGAAGTTCACGCCGTTGCCGGCCAGCAGCTCGGGGGTCAGGCAGCCGAGCGCGCCGAGCAGAGCCCAGCGAGCGTGGATCACCTGATAGGGTGACGAGACGAAAGAAAAACAGGAGATGGTGACGGTAGGAATGAAGAGATCCCGAGTACGCTAATGCAGGCCGCACAACGGCCTGGACCAATTCAGTGGACTGATGCTAGAAAGCGTCATCATCAATTACAGAAAAAACTCGGGTTCGAGAAGCAGGGTTGGTGACGATACGAGCAGAACAAAATGAAAGATTGCTATTGCAAGCCGCAAAAACGAAATGAACGATTCTGGAAAACGTTCTTATCTCCCTAAAGGGAAATCGGGGTCAAATGTTTAGTTATGAATCTGGTGTGGCTTACCTCCAGCTCGCGGTTCTTGGCGAAGGTCTCGGGATCAGCGGACAGACCCGCCGTGTCCCAGCCGTAGTCGCCGGGGTACTCGCCGGTGAGGTACGACGGGGGGGAGGAGAAGGGGCCCAGGAACAGGTTGCGGTCGGGGCCGTAGAAGGCGCTGCTGGAAGCCGCCTTGGCGGTCTTCCTCATCGTCACGCGGGCCTCGACATTGTTCACCTTGGCGGCGAGCTCAGCGCTCTGCCCGACGAAGGTGGACGGGAGCACAGCAGCGTTAGCGAGAGCAGCCATTGTGGATGTGTAAAAGCTGCTGTAAGAATTCCTGGATGAGTGTGGCTTTACTGCTGAACTGATCGTGACTGGCCGCTCTTTTGAACTTGGGCTTGGTCTTGGTTGGGCTTGGGCTTGGGTTGGGTGGGGGGAGAGGTGTTGTTGGATGCTGACTCATCGCGGACCGCGTGCATTCCAGGTGCCCGACGCTCCGAAATCTCCTCACCCGCTCGCCCGAAATCCAGGCAATCTGATCTCGACCAATAGCGATGGGACTTCTTTTTCCATATTTCTGGTGGGTTGTGCTCAACTGGTGGTGTGCCTGGCGACAGTGTGTGCGAGGTGTTGAATTTGTCTTCGCGAATTTGAATTTGGGCCAAGCAGCTCAGCCAGCCAGATTTTGGTGTGAGCGATGTGCAATCTGATTGGGCAACGATGATCTAGTGGTCGTTTAAATCAAACACACCCGGAACCACTCTCAAACGTTCCAAACCATCATCTCGTCAAGCTCCAGGAGACCCGAATGTCTAGTTACGGTCTGGGGGGTTGTGTGAGCATCTAGACAGGTGGACAAATCCTAGTCAATGTTTCTAAACTAAAAGGAATTTTCTCGCTATTCCTTACTGCGATCGTCAACATCGCGGCCCTGGTGGAGACCGATTCGAGTATTTTTGGGAGGAGCTAAAAACGGAGCAATTTCAAATCACTTCATTGAGCTCCAAAACTACATCCTTATAAATGCCAATTTGAAAAGACCCGGATCTTATAAAATATATACCATTTACTTATATCCCCCAGCTTTTTGAGGACAGAGGAGTGGCCTGAGGCGAGGAGTACGTGAAGTCAAAGCGCTGAAGGACCTGCTGCACCATGTGTGACCGAGTCAAGGTAATGGTGCGCCGTGCTCTGTCCCGGGTGATCTGCAAGCCAAGATAGCTGCGCAGTTCACCCGGGT